ATGAGATCAATTTAAATATCTAATTGGATTCCAGGTAGGCTTGGTATTAGTGACCTATGAGATCAATTTAAATATCTAATTGGATTCAAGGTAGGCTTGTTATTAGGGACCTATGAGATCAATTTAAATATCTAATTGGATTTGAAGTAGGGTCTGTATGGTTCATGGAAATGACAGACGGGCTGAAGAGAGCATTTGGGAGAAGGGACAGTGACGTGTAAAAGGCCCCCAGCGCGGATGGAAGAGTCCTGATTTAGGACAGAGGCAGTGGATGGGAAAGGCAGGGTTCCATGAGCCATGGATTTGCTTTTGGTCTTTCTCTTCTTAAGTGACTTACCATTGTTTGTTTGTTTTCCCTCTCAAACCAGGTTTGGAGATTGATAGGCCACGGCTTGATCCACTCATTTAAAAATGAGCATGCCAAGCAGTCCATCTTCCGAAACATTGGGGCTGGAGTCATGCAGATCGACATCAGCCAGGGCAGCCGGCTCTTCTCCTGCGGTGCAGACGGCACGCTCAAAACAAGGGTTTTACCAAATGCTTTTAACATCCCTAGTAGAATTCTTGACATTCTATAGCCTTAAGGATTCAGGGCTTTATTTTTTTATACACATTTCAGTCGAAAAGCACTGCAGAAACTATTAGGCACCGAGGAAGAAAACCAGTTCAGCTTCCCATGCAGTGAACACATTGCAAACAGTAGCAGTCTGCGTGGATGTGAATCTGATCCAGCAGTGGTGTGACTCACTCAGAACATCGCCCATGCGGGTTGCGCATGTACTTGTCTTCCTGCCACCATACTGAGAGATCCAGCCCACTGTCGTGTGGAGGCTAGCTCTTCTGTACAGCACTTAGCAAACCTGATTCGGGAAACATTTGAGGTTAGAGGTTAGCATCTGAGAGGTAAGGAATCAGAGAGCCCTTTACACCGAATGAAGGGGGGAAATGTTGTTGATTCCGGCATTTCTTTCTGTTCTTGCCCTGACTGTGCATGCCTGCACTGTCCCTCTGTGTTGGCCGAAGGGCAATCCTAAGGCGTTAGGAGTTCTAGAGCACCAGAGAAAGCGCGCTCCGTTTCGGAGCCGCGCGCAGTGACTGATCCTCTGTCCCGGAAGGCCACTTTCATTCTTCCCCGCTGAATATGTCCCCTGTTAAGTGTTTATATTGAGCGAGCACTGTCACTTGCAAATGAGCGCAAATTCCAATGCAATGTTTTCCTCATGATTTGCACATTCACACCTTTTTTTGGACTGCTAGTTTTTCTATTTAAATCTTTGCCTTCACGTTAGGAATGTACTACGTGACCATGACATCTCTGTCGCTAACGCAAACATACCTTCCTAATCCGCTTGAGTGCTTTTTCTTTTCCTGTATTTGAGGCTAGCCACCCACAACATTTGAAGACTGTGTTGAAGCTACACCAGTACCATATTTCACATCATAATTAAAATGAATGTGAGGCTTTTTGTGGCCAGTTAATAGTTGATGAGATTGGTGATATTATTTATTGCCACAGCCTATTGTATAAACTATGCAGAGGTAAATATTATTTGCTTGTAAAATATTAGCCAATGTTGTCATATTTTGATGTATTTCCTTGGTTTTGACCAAAAATATGTTCTTGAGATATTGATACCAATGTCTGTGTGTTTTAATGTTTACCAGCAAATTGTTTCATCATGTTAATGAGAATGTTTAATGCCTGTGTGGTAAACAGTCAAGTAAAATGACATAAAAGCACCTTTCTCTGAAGGTAATGTGACGTTCAGGCTGTGAAATACACATGTAAGAGAGAAATAAATGTTATTTGTTAGAGTTTTACCGTAGTTTGGTCTCTTTGCCATTCTTTGATGCAATTTTGAGTGACTGAGATAATTTCCAGTTTGATCAGCTGTTGGAGAATTTTTTATTTTTTAAGGAAACAGGATACGATGGGGAATACTGAGTGTTGACTTACGATTCCATTGGCTGAGAACTACCCTCATGGTGCCTTCTCCTGACAGACCTAAAGCTTATTGAGTGAGTGCTGTTTTGGGTGCTGAGTGGGGTCAGAAGGAGGGAGGGTGTCTGAATACATCGGTGCACAGATGTGCAAAAACTGGAAACCGCACATGCGCGCTGCCCACAGGGCAGCACGTGGTCCCTCAGAGCGCATGTGTTGCACTCTGTCGGTCTGTGGTGGACTTACTGCAACAGCACCAACTGATGCACTAGGACGTTGTAGGAAAATCATGTTTCGAAACTAAAGTTCAAAGACTTTCTTTATGGGACCTGCCTCTCGTTTTGAGCTCTTGCTCTGCAGTAATCTACCATCTGTCACACTTCTTTTAATTCATAGCCTTTATTTACACGTTTTTGGTGTACAAACAATTGAGCCAATAAGAGTCCGCATTTCTTCCCTTCCTCGGTTTTTTCTATTATTAATGCCTTGATGCTGTTGTTAACAGTGAATGAAATAATATATTTCTATTATTATGAACCCCCATAGTTTATACTAAGGTTCACTTCTACAGTTAGTTGTACCGCTGTGTGTGCATAATGCCACGCGTCTGTCATTACAGCATCACACAGAATAGTGTCCCAGCCCTAAGAAACCCTGTGTGTCACCTGCTCCTCGCTCCTCCCTCTCTACCTCCTGGCAGCCTCTCCTTTCACTGTCTCCCCAGTTCCTGTGCAGCCTGTGAATGGGGTGGGAATCGTGGTCTATAACTTTTTCAGGTTTGGTTTCTTTCGCTTAGAAATATACATCTAAAGCTTCTCCATCTCTGTTTGTGACTTGATTGTTTTTATCCCCCGCACTCACAAAATAATATTCTCAGATACGGTTACATCACAGATTGCTTATGCAAGTATTGAAGGACATCTTGACAGTTTCCACATACGGGTGATTTCGAATAAACCTGATAATAAACCTCCGTGGACAAGTTTCTGTGTGGTCATAACTTTTCGACCTAATTGGTTAAATGCCCAGGGTGGGTTATATGGTAAGACTGTGTTTAGGTTTGAGAGAAATTGCCCAACGGCCTGCTGCAGTGCCTGTACCGTTTTGCGTGCACACCAGAAGTGAAGGAGAGTTCGCGTTGTTGCCCATTCTTGTCAGCATTTGGTATTGTCAGCTTTTTGGATTTTGCCAGTCTAATAGGCATGTCAGATGGACTCGATGTCAGTGAGCTTGGAGTTTGTTTTTCCATTAGCAGTGGCATCCTCCCTCTTCAGGCTCACCTTGCGTTGGAATCATCGACTCAAGGGCAGTGAGTCGTTCATTTTTGTGTTTGAGTGGTAGCATTGTTTTTATGAGCCATTTCCTAATGACATGTTGCACATCTTTTACATTTAGCTCTTTATCCATTCTGTGTTAATTATTAGTGAAGGTGTATCAAGATTTTTTTTAACATGTGAATGTTCAGTTGCTTTAGCCCCATTTGATACAAAGATTATTCTTTCTCTATTGAATTGCCTTGGCTCCTTTTTCAAAGTTGGTTACTGTCATGTAGAGTCAGTGCTGACTCAGAGATACCTTATCCCCATGACAGACAGATCTGCCCATAATGTTCCTGAGGCTGTAATCTTGGCAGGCTCAGATCACCAGGCCTTTACTCGCATTGAGCAGCTGGTGGGGTGAAATCCGTGACCCTGGCCATTGGTTAGCAATTGAATGCTTAACTATCGGGCCTCCATGTCTTCTTTTGTCAAAGAGTAATTGACTTTGTTTTTGTAGGTCTATGTATGGGCTCTCTGTTCTGATCCACCGATCTATTTGTCTGTTATTTTGCCAGGACTACGCTGTCCTGATTATTGTCGCTTTATAGTTGAGTCGTGAGGCTGAGTAGCCTCAGTTCCCTGACAGTCTTTCTCTCTCATACTGTGTTGGGTGTTGCAGTCTTGCCTTTGCATAGAAACTTTGGAATTAATGTGTTGATAGCCACAACATGACTCGGTGGGATTTTGATTGAGCTTGTTTGGAAAGCACTCACGTAAAATTTCGTGTGGCATTTCCCCCATCACTGGTACCGCTTATAGCATAAGCTGTTATGCTGTTCATCCCCTTTTCTGTCTCAGGCCACTCTCAGAACTGTCGTGCTGTGTATGGGCCGGGCGCTCTTCCCCACATACAGAACATGCTGCCTCCAGATTCTCAAGAGACCCACTTGGTCCACCTTCATTGTGGGAGATGTACGGTCCAATAATTTGTCCTTTGGATAAAAGATGCTATCGCGGGCCTGATCCATTAACATGTCAGTAGCTCCTCTGTGAATCTCCATAGGGTTTATTTCATCATCTCTGGCATACATGTGCTTTACCAAAGCCTCTTAATATGGTAGCCATTCATTGTTATCTAGGCTACTGAGTGGAGCCCTGGTGGTGTAGTGCTTACGAGTTGGGCTGCAATCTGCAAGGTCGACAGTTTGAAACCACCAGCATCTCCACTCCCATAAACCATTACAGTCTCAGAAACTCATGGGGGTAGGCCATTTTACCCTGTCCTACTGGGTCACTATGAGTCAGTATTGACTCAGTGGCAGTGAGATAGAGGCTACTTAGCAAGATGCTATTGATATAATGGGTTAATGTGGGTATGACAGTGGTGGTAGTTAATATAACCTTGGGGGGGGGGCAATAACTTGAAAAATCCACAACTTATATTGCCTTTCCAAAAATGCAAATGGTTTCATGATAGAGAAGTCACAAAGGCTGCTTACTGTCTGGGGGGCTTCAAATAGCTGTGGGGAAATGGAATTGAAAGATCATGGCACTTCCTGAACCCCCCTAATAAAGCTACAACGTCTGGGTTAATTGCTTTAGCTTAGCACAGGCCACAACTGGCCTTAACAGCTGCGCCTCAGACTATTGGCTGAGATTCCAGTCATCCGTCTCCCTTCGCCAGCGTCTCCCTGGTTTTCACAGGGGCCAGACAGGTGAATTACCACCGCCTGCACATTCTGCGGATCCAAGAATGGCATTCATTTCAGACATCCTTTCTGGGACATGACGTTTGTTTTGCTTATTTCTTGGGGCAAATTTAGAGACTGGACACTCCCCACTTAGATGGCTTCCGAGTGGGGGTTGTGTTACTACTACCAATGGCTCGTTCTGATTATGCTTTTGTTCGGATTACATTTGGGGGCAGGGAGGCTACTGCTAGGCAGATTTGCACATAGACTGGGGAGGCCCACTATGAATGGGGCCGTGCTGAGGTGGGATTTCATTTATGAAGTTCTCCTATGTCTCCATGGTCATGCGGGGTGGATCATCATGCTTCAGGTCTTCCAATGTCAATGTCAACTTGGGCATTTGTCTAAAGGGCCTTTAAATGTTCGACATTCCCCTTTCTCCATTAAAAAAATTTTTTTTCACACAGTTCCTTGTGTGAAAGGCTGTAGATACTTTTGTGGAAGGACTTGGGAAACAAGTATCACGCACACTTCTCTCGTGGCAGGGTTTGTTCTTTTGCACACCCAGCCTCTTCTTCAGTCACTGGATGCTGGATCTGGAAACCGGCCCATGTCAGGAGGCTGGGCAACTGACTGGAACTTCTTCCTATTTTGAGTGACTGTGTTTGGCTAAGGGTCCCTGGGGGTACATTGGTTAAAATGCGTGGCTGCTAACGGAAAGGTTGGTGGTTTGGACTCTTGAGCTGCCTATGAGAGAAAGCCCTGGTGACCCGTCTCCAGATGACAGCCCAGGAAATCCTGTGGGGGCAGTTCCAGTCTGTCCTATCGGCTGTGTGTGAAGGAGAATTGAGTGGATGTCACACAAAGCCCTCAGGTACCTGATCCGTCCAGCCCGATTTAATGGTACAAACTCAGTGGCACTATGGTTGGCTCCCCACCGCTCTTACCACTAGGGATGCCACATTCTATTAGTCATCTCCATAACCCTTCCGGGTCAGGCCCCCCTTGCTGTCCCTCCTCCCTTTCCACTTAGGGAAAATGCCCTTGGCCTGGCTTCTGAGGAGTAAATGCTGCCACCCGGACTTCATTGTTTCTGGGGGCCATACACTCCACATTGCTATCAGGAGGTGCACGTCTGTAGTGGCCTTTTCTCCCATAAGCCCTGGCTGGGAGAGCACCATCACTGAAACTCTGAGGGTGCTGTTGGGTAAGTGGTGGACCACCAACTGCAAGGTCCGGTGCTCCTCCCATGAAACTTGAAATCACCTGAGCCCACCACAGTGGCTTCCTGTATTTGGGCTATCAAGGAGCCCTGGTGGCACTCGGGGCAGCTGTGGATTGCTAACCTCAACGTTGGTAGTTCAAACCCACCAGCTGCTCTGAGGGAGAAAGATGAGGCTGGCCACTCCCGACAGATTTACAGCCTTATACGAAACCTTATGTGGGGTAGTGCTATCAATCCAGAATTGACTCGATGGCACTGGCTGGGTGGGTCTGCTTTTGTCATGCATTTGGAATCATACTCAGAGCAAATGGACAACATTTCCCAGGGCCAGGGCCAGGGTATGCAATCCCTTATCCCAGCAGAGCGCTCCCAAAGGATACACTTTCCCTGAGAGTCAACCTTTTGTCCTGTCCCCATGGAGCAAGTCCCTTTAAGATCAAATTCCAGGGGTATTTTCCTGACTCCCACTGGTATATATTTGCCAGAGCTGGATTTGCAACTCTGGGGGCCTGGTCCCTTCCCTTCCCTTAGTCAGCCCAGCATGTCCACGGCTGGGTTGCATTGTGACTATTTTTACACAAAGCCAGAACCTACATAAATCAGAAACCTGTCAGAGAAGAAAAAATATTTTCCCACTAATACCAAGAGGAAAGTGGTAGGACTGTAGCCTGTCAAAAGCGGAAAACTTAGGAGACCTGGGGATGGAGTG